TCATCACAACGCTATGGACAAAGAATGCCCTAGTTATATAAGAGTTAAAAACCAATATTTACAGAAAGTCACATGTAAGGACTAATCTATGTATACTGTTTTTTCTGAACATACAGATCTATTTTGTATTTTAATCTTGTTAACGAGTCTAGCTTTCATATTAGGCTTCTGCCAATTGGTACAGTATTTAATGAGCTTTGTTTATAACTAATGCAGTATTTTAAAGTATTGCGTTATACTGTACATTCTGGTCTCTTCTCACGTACCTCCTGTTTGTTTTGTATCGTATTGTCTATTTTTATGTATTTGATTTCATTGTGTTTCGGGAAATACTGTAATATTCTCTTGTATCCCATTAACTGTGTCATCAGGTAATGCCAAACGCGGGGCCTGGTCTTGTACTTATTTTTGGTACAATAAAACATAATGAATGAATGAATGAATGCTGAGCTGTTCCGCGACGAAAACAATGTTGAGCAATGGCGATGTCGAATGGTGACACTCGGTAAGTAATCCTACATTTTTTTTATTTATAGCGTAGTTTATACGGATTATTTCTAAAAAAATAATACGTATTTTGAAAATGTTGAGTCGGATTAGTCTAGAATCGATTAATTTTATGAAAGAAAACCTTTCAATCAGCCGTAGTCCGCAAACTTGACACGTGTCGTGATTGGAACGACTCGTAAGAAATCGGATTCCTAAAGAATGGAACGTATCTATATCTTATAGGGGGGTCGACTGTATTACAAGACAGATGATCATAATTTATTTGGACTTGTGTGAAATTTGTCAGAAAAAAAGAATGTTCCTAAGAAAAATCTAAATCAGGATGTTATTAGTATTACAAAATTGGTGAATGAAGAAGAAACAATCCAAACAATTGATCCAAAAATAGAAGAAAAAATAAGAAGTGTGTCTAAAACAAGGGCTTTGTTTAATCGTAAAATGCAAGCAGAAAAAATGATTAATACAGTAATACCTCGACTTACGCGAACCCGGAGTTACGCGACTTTCAAATCTCGTCGATTCGTCTTTTGTTTGAGCGCCACGCAATCCTTGATTAATCACTACCCCCACACTATTGTTCAGCTTACATGTTCGGATGTGTCGCGCGGAATCCACACATAGCTACAATTTATTTTGTGTTACAGTATTTATTTCTGTGTTTGTTATATCTACGGAGACTCGAGGGACTCTACTATGTCATCCAAACGAAGTAGAACTAATTCTTCTGCATCAAACAAGGAAAGAAAAACTTTATCTTTGGAATGTAAAGTTAACATTGGGTACTTTCGTAAGTCGAACGATTTAAACGAGAATGACGTCATCGTTATTCCTATTTCATTAGACTTTTCGAACGATTCTTTACTAACGCGTTTAACTCGTTTGACTTTACGAACGTACCCATTATTAAAGACTTCGATACAAAAATGAAAATTTGTGAATTGGCAAAGAAGTTTTATCTACCGGAATTGTCAGTCAGAACAATTATAAAAGGCAAAGAACAAATTCTCGAAGCTGTGAAAAATGCTCAATTTTTAAATTCAAGCATCATTCGTAAACGTCACAGTATTATCGCTGAGATGGAAACAATGTTAAAATTATGGCGT